AAAAGTGAAAGATCTTAAAATTGCTCCAAACTGGCTGAGAAGTATCACAATTCACAATTCTTAAAAAGCTAAGAACTGAAGCACGAACTATTTTGCATTTCAAAAATTTTTGAAATTGTTTATAGAATACTAACAATACTTCCAACTCTCGTTTACAGTTCAAAAATATAATCAGTGATTGGGTCAATGTTTATAAAATGAAGTATGATTGTAAGTCATTAGGAATAGAAAACAAAAACAATATCATTGTTTCATGTAGACATTTAATTACAAATATTAATTTTTCAATTATAGTAAGAAAACATCATTTTTTTTATTTAGAATAATTATAATATACTTTATTGGTGATCAAAATATTGATCAATATTATAATATTACAAAAACTTTTTATAATATTTTGATTGATTCAATTTTTGATAGAAATTGCATTATTTAAAAACAACCGTTCAGAAAATCATATTTGACAAGAAATTACTGATTCTATAAGTTAATTTTATTAGTTTACATTAAATATAATCTTAAAGAATTTTAAATGTCAAGACAAAAATACTTAATGTACATTTTTTTTACATTTACACTCTAAAAGTATAATAGTTTTTAATGTTTTCCTTTTATCTTTGATATTATTAAATATTACTGATAATTGATATAGTGAAAGTTCTTCATTTATTTGTTATGGTGAAAATTGCTCATTTAACACAATGAAGTAACATATTATGCCAAATGTAGAGAAAGAATCCATGACTTTTATCATCTTCCCAATTTACTAATGTATCCCTTTTTTTAATAAAATTATTTATTTAAAAAAAATTTCTGTGCATGTTTGTTTGTCTGTGTGTTTTCATTTATATCTTTTTTATTACTATTATTATTATTCTGTATTTATATAAATGTAAGCATGTACAGAATTTGAATATCAGTAATGTTAATTAATACATATGATAGTCACTTTACACACATTTTTATATAAATCAGCTTATTAATAATATAGCATATAAAATTAATACTAATGTAATAATGTATCCATTTATCAGATTGTTAGCTTATCTACCCAGATTTTAATGATTATAGGGTTTTTCCAATAAACTTGGACCTTCTTATCTAGTGTCTATTGCATCAATGCTGTAGCACTTTGCTTATTCTTCTGTATAGAGTCATAGTCCAACATACAATGTGTTTTTGTGCAAAGTATTCTATATGTCAATTCTATGTAATAAAAGTCTTCTTCTCCCTTAGTAAGATTGATCACATATATATCTGCCATATTGTTTTATCTTCTCTTTGTCTGCATGTAGTAGTTACATGATGGAGGAAAGAAATTTAATTGTTAGAGTAATATCAACTGTTCTCTCTTTCCATTGTTCTTCTATTCATTCTAACACACTTGCTAATTTTTATAACTGATAATGTTCTTAAAAAGAACAAAAATGTTACTGAATAAAACTAATTTAGTTTCCAGAATTAAGCTCTTTTCTCATCTTTTTCTTATTAATATGAATGTGAAAATAATAAGCAAATTGCTTCATATGGTAAAAACAAGAAAAATCAAGTTATTTTTCACAACTTTTCAACATTTTTTTTTTCCTTGAGAAAATGTACATATTGTCAACACAACAAACATCTGTTAGTTTTCATCTACTACATCCAAGCATGACTTGGTCATCGTTAAACCTATCAACAGTAGTAAAATGAGGTTTTTCTTATCAAATATAGTATGTCACATGTTCCTATAGGTGAAATAAATAATTACAGTAAGGTCTTGCTAATCCAAATATGCATTAATTTAAACCACTTTTATTTGTTATTCTGCTAAATGTTCCTACCAAAAATAAAAAAAACAATCTATGGAAAATATGTCCAATTTATAAAATTAAAATGTACTACACAATTTTTAACATGAATAAAATTATAAAAATTTTTTGAATGTATGTACTTGTCCTTTTTGATCTCCTCTTTCTTACTTGTAACTTCACTAGTCCAAACATAATTAGTTCAAATTAATGACAATGCATTTATTGCAAACTTTTAATTATATTTCCAAATATGTACATTTAACAAGAAAAAAAAGACTATTTTGTCCACACTAAGATTAATTTCACTGAAGAGGCTATACAAAAATTATGTTTCAGTATTAATGTGAAAATCTAAGGTCATGGTGTTTTGTACTGGAGAGGTTCATGTTAAAAAAGAAAAGTGGGTATATTAAGCATAATTTTATTGAAGTACTAGATGAATATAAATATTTGGGAGTAGTTTTTCAATTAAATGGAAGATTTTCTAGGCATTTAAATCATATTGCTAATAAAGCAGATGTTGGTATAAAGAAGATTATTCAGGTATGTAAATCTGGCAGATTAACAGCATGATCAGATAAAGTAAAATTATTTGAAGCTTTTGTTCAGTTGTCAGTATTTTATGGTTCAGCAATTTGGGCTTCCCATAGACAAACAGAAAATACCATTCAATTGAAGTTTATTAAGTGCCTGTATTCCTTAGAGATGCATTCCCTCATATATAATCTATTTAGAATTTCAAAGAGTTTCATTAAAATTTAATATAATAAAATATCTTAAGATGGACAGGTAGGGTCCAATTAATAAGCTTACAGTTAAAGCTAAGTCATGCAGTAGAATTTCTATTATCTGGATTGTTCAAAATAAACAAAAATTTTACGAATTTGCTGATTTGCACTTGGCAAATTGCAATACTGTTTATGTACGTGATGGAATGCATAACATTTTTTGTTCCAACAACGTCTCACCCAGCACAGTGGTCGTAAACTTTTTAATACATTTTGCATTGTAATAAAAATATAACTTGGCATATATATTTATAAATAATTTATATTGAAATTACATCATTTCNCTCACCCAGCACAGTGGTCGTAAACTTTTTAATACATTTTGCATTGTAATAAAAATATAACTTGGCATATATATTTATAAATAATTTATATTGAAATTACATCATTTCTATGGCCAAGGGCAGCGTAAGGCATGGGCAACATGGGCCACCGCCTACGGTAGGCATGGCCAACGTATGGCCCACAGGCCAGATCCGGCATGTCTAATGAATTTATGTGGCCCGCAATATTAGCCTCTCAATATTAGCCATTGAAGTCTGAATAGATCAATGAAAACTTCTGACACCTAAAAAAAAAAAAGTCAACAACTCAGTGTGCGTTTAGAGTTAACCCTCCGTTACAAATCTTGTAAGTACAGCATAGAATGTTGATAAAGCATGATAATGTGAAAAATGCGGGGTGACACCACAATAAGATCTCGCACCACCTCAAAATCTTCCTAAGGCAGCCTCTGGTTCGGCCTGTGGAAAAAGTTCTTTCCAAATCGGCCTGGGGATAAAAACTGTTGGTCACCCCTGGTCTATGGCCTCGCGCCTTGAAGGTTTATGCATTACTTAACAGCCGCGAATGTGACGAAAAAGTTTACTCATCATAAAACAATAAATAGTTTGCATTTTTATGAATAAACTTTTGACAGTTTCAACTGCTTTTTATTTTATAAAATCCATTTTCTTGCACCACCAGAGGGCCTTTAAACAATAGGCAGTCTGTCAGTACCGGTCAGTAGTAGCCCAAATTCAATACGAACATTTGTTTCTTGAAAATTTGATCATGATTTAAATACAGTATTTATTTTTATTACTACCGATACGTCATCAAAAAGAAAATGCGTTGTATTATCATTAAAGACAAATTGGATATAATCAATGGTTTGAAACGCAGTGAGTCTGGATGTTCATTATCTAATAAATATGGTGTCGGAATGTCAACGATCTCAAATATAAAAAAACAAAGTGAAAAAATTATGAAGTTAAGCAATAATTGAATTTCTTAATGAAAAATAATTTAATATTGAAGTTACAGTATACGTAAATCTAGACAAATAAAAATTATTCATACTGTATGTACTGTACATGTCTTTCACTGTCAATTATTATTTTTTCAATTATCTGGATTTTTCCTTATCCGGACTATTTTCATCCCCAATTAGTCTGGATAATTGAGGGTCTACTGTATTTACTTTTGCAAAAATTGGCATGCAGTAGTAGTCAATTGTCAACTTTGTTGAAAAGTTATAATTATCAAAGTCTCTTTGTTGTTCAAATGTATCTTTGTTAAATCCAATAACTATGTCTGATGTGTTGGTAAGAATCATGGAAAATTATTTAACTGATTTTAAAAACAAAACTTTAGAGTACAAATTTAATAAATGGTATTCTAATTTAATAATTGATTGGGGCATCCAACATACTTAAATTCTGTGCGACAGTTTAGAGTGGTTTTAGCAGTATTGAATAAATGATGTAATATGTTAAAAAATATGACTTCAAGAATGGAAAATTGTGAATTTTGGGGTTTAGAAGTTTCTTTTGATGTTTATCATGTGATGGTGGAGTGTAAAGCTTTTGTAAAAAAAAGGATTTCATATTTTGGAAAAAATTTGCCAAGTTATGATTTTATAAGTTTGTATGTAATAATAATAATTACATTTGTAATTATAATTTTATTGTTATGTCTAATATATTTATTTTTTTGTTTGTTAGCCACCAGGAGATTTAAAGTGTTATAAAAGTGGCAGTCACTGTTGGCAGTGAATTTTGTTGGAAATTTTGGTGTGATTTAACTAATTATGAATTTTTGTTTTCTGTTACAAGTAACGTGACATACTTTTATTTTGTTTTAGTTGTATGTTATGGTGATGGTTCACTGCCAATTTGTGTTGTGTATAATATGTTTTTTTTTGTTGTTGTTTTGCCTTGCAAATAGGTATTTACCTTGTACTAATAAAATAAAATTGAATAAATAAATATTGTCCAAATTGTATATTCTGTTCTTTTCTAAAATTACAAATATATTCATAATTTTTTGAAGAGCACTATTTTTTCTCTTCATTGAACTCTTCATTGAACAATCAAAGTACTGTACATATATTTGATAAACATATTTTAAAAACTTATAAATTATAAAAATTACTCACCAAATATTGTTAATTTCAAAATTCTACTACATTGGATAGCAAATGAGACATCTGAATTATCAAATATTGTTATAAGATCACCATCTAAAATGTAAAAATTATATTTGCATTAACATTAAATATATTTTTATATAATGAAGATTTAATATTTTCTCCATAAATGAATATATCAAAAAATAAACAACATTATTTCTTCTGATAATCACCTGTTATGCTATTTTTAAATTACAGTACAGTCTTGTTTTTATGTGGTGGTTGAAATACAACCACCATATAAAACAAGTATATTGTAAAATAAAATTTGGCACAAATTTGTACTCCACTGCAAGTGGTCCCAGATGATTGACTGCCTAGACTTCAGTAACTATTTAATATTTTAATATTAATAATTAATAATTTAATTTTAATAATTTTAACATTTTAATAATTAATTTTTTTAAATGTTTTTTTATTAAAAACATTTTACTTATGTTTTACTATAGTAAATAACATTTTAATCTGATGTTTCTGAATACATAGAGAAAAATTTTATTTACTTTTCTTGAGAAAAATACATGCAAACCATAGTAGTCACCACAGTGAAAATTCAATAATTCTTTGTGTTCAAAATATCAGAAGACAGAGAAGCTTCTGACATACCAACATTCTACTATTGTTCGATAACTTAAAGGTCAGCAAAATGTACCACTGTTGGTTAATCTAACCATTCTTGATCTGCAGAAACATGAATCTGTATATAACATTTTCACATAAAATAAAACCTTACTGTATTATTTTTCTACAACATTTATAATAATAAGTTATAAAAATATAAACAATCTTTATTTAAGTTGTAATCTTTAAGAATATAATATAATTACACTTTTAAAAAGGTTAAAAATTAAGAAGTTTAATACAGTGTGGTCTTATTTTGTGTGTTTTTCATATTATATAATGATAAAAAGAATTTATGATCTTTTAAAAATATAAATAAAATTTAATAATAGTTTGGTTTTGACTGAAATATATTTCAACCACTAACTCTAACCAAACTCATCAAAAAACTTATTTTCAAATACAAAAGCTAAAATTTTACTATTGCAAAACAAAGTTTAAATAATATTTAGACCAAGAATAAAAAGCACTTATATAATGTCATTAAATAATATAAAAATGTTTAAACAAAACATTTTATGATTAATTAATGAAATGACAAACACTAATGACATAACTGTTATCAAAAATCAAATTCAAAAGTAAAGTGTACTAAAAGAATCAAATAAATGAATGACAAAGTTTAATCAGTTTATTATAATCAATGTTAAATCAATGCAATAAAAGTTAAAACTTTGTTCTATTAAACAATAATATTTATTGAATATAATTAATGTTTCCAGCAGTTTGAATAGTTATTATAAAATACTTGTTAAAAACAAAAATAATTAAATTTATTCAGTTATTTTTATCAAATGAATATTATATTATGCAATTTATTATTATTACAATTTTTATATCCATAATTTTAAAGAAGTTATCATAATAAAGAAAAAATTTATTAACATAACTGTTTTGAAAGTTATAAATACAAGTATAATTTTTTTTATTTAGCAAAGCTGTTATTTGAATATAATAGGCTTTTCGTTTATAATAATTTGATATCTGCCAATTTCAAATTTTCTTATTATTTCCCTAAAACAACAAAACTGAATTTCAGAATATGAGCTATTGATTTTGAAAGTGGGGCAAGTCCACTTTATGAAAAAAATAGTTAAAGCTAATTCTTATTACAAATTAACATACAATTTATGTTTTTAATCAATTCACGATTAATATCTTATAATATCAGTATAAATTTGTTACTAGTAATTTATATCATCAATGATATTTATTGAGAGTTGATTTTGAAAGTGAGGCAAGTCCACTCTAAAGAAAACTATAAACATATAACGGATTTATTACCCTATGTACCACCCATTCATCATGAATGCTTTAAAAATCTGCACCATCTGAACTAAGAAATATTATTATACGCAATTTAATTATATTTCTTATAATTAAATTGAAATATAATTTTTTCTTATTTTATCCACTTTTTCCTATAAAATAAATTTTTTGTTTTATTGTAGCTTTTCAAAAGAAGTATGGAATGTTGCAAAATAAATAAATAAGTAAATAAATAAAATATTTAATATTTTGTTGTTATAACTATATTCCATTCAAAGAAAATCAATGTTTTCAACAAATCATTGCTTCTGAAAGCAAGGAAAGTCCATTGCCTCAATTTCAAAAGCATTTTTTTTCACCTAACACGGATAACCATTATTACATATTAAATTTACAAGAAATAAGACCAAAAAAATATAAAATAAGTCTATTACCGCTTACAAATATTTTTAAACTCATTCAAATGCAACCATTAAATATATAGCAATAACATAAAATGGATTTGCCCCATTTTCAAAATCAATGGCTCATATACAGTGGAATATTGTTTAACAAACAGTTCAGATAATGAACACTTTTGCAAAATTCAGACAACAAACACCTCACAGAACAAACACAAGAAGTGACATAAAACAATGAATACTGATTGGTCTTCCCTTGTCTTCAGGCAACAATTTGGAACTCTTTGGAGTGCAACATCGACGCTCAACCTGGTATATACTGATCAGATAGTATTCCTCTGAACTTTGAAACTCTCCCTTGTAATTCCAGCCTTTTATTTTTCTGACAGAAACAACTCTTTTATAGTATTCATGAGAGTGTTGGGTGGGCACTCTAAGTTTTGTGTCGGTTTTTATTTTCGAAAGGTGAGAATATAATAGCAAAGGTAGAGAGTGGGCAGAAGATGTCTGGTATTGCTGGGCAGTATGGCTTGAACAGGTCTACAGTAGGCTGCAGTTCAATCTTATCTAAGACAAACAGTTCTCAATGCATTGCTTCAGCTTTATTATCAAATTCTTTAATGGGGAATAAAAAAAAGCATAAAATAATGCAAATCAATTCTCCTTTGTTTACTTTAAAAAGAAATCTGAAGTGTTTCCAACTGAATCAAAAATAGCAGATAATGATTAAATGATATTGACAATTTACAGCCAAAGCCAGGAAGACTCTGGCTGCAGATCATCTTTACCATCTATCTATCTATATTTTAATTTACAAAATAAATGTAACATGGATCCAATGTTTTCAATAGCTGCATTTTTATACATCTGTAATACACACATCCTATTGAAATACATTATGATTCATTTCATTTATGCCAAATCAACATATGCCAACATCTCTAGGAATCTAATCCAGCAAAAACAAGGATTTATTAAGATAGAAATTTATTGGTGAATTGCTTTTTGTCCTTATGTTACAATAAGGAACTATGAGCACTAAGTTTTGGTTCTATGAAGGACTTATCACACTCTATTGACATTGTTGGAATAATCACAGAAGTAGGCACAGGTTTATTATGAATATGGAATGCATTTCTCAGGAAGTTCTAAGGAAGACTAAACAATAAAATTAAAATTAACAGATTTATTAAACAATGCAATGTTAAAAAACTTATAGATTACAATTCAGAGACCTCTTTATACATAAAGAAAAACACATTCAACTTGTTTATCAATAAAATAAAAATAGAACTACAGATATAATAGATCCGCAGTGCCCAATACGTTGCTCGCTTACCATTTTAATGTGGCTCACTGCTCATGTATTCAGATTCATCACATATATTAGAAATAAAATAGTTTTAAAAATTATACATATACACACATACATATATAATATGTGTGTGTGTGTTTAAGAATGTAATTAAATTAAAGAATGTAACTTCACCATTTTCCAAATTTAGAGAACTATATTCATAAATGTAAAGAAATTGAATCAGATAAATATTCTGAAAATCTTGCTGAAAATGTATAATATATTGTGTATGAACTGACAGATAGTTTCAACTATTTATAAAAATATTTGTTGGATTTATTTATTTTAAGGGTTAATATACTAACAATTATTTTTATCCTATAGTTACCCTAATTATGTCTGAATACGAGATAGAGAAAAAGAGAAAATGAACTTACACTTACAATTTTCAAGAAGATTGGGAAAAGAAAAATTTTAATCTCAAGTGAAAGAATTGAAAACCACATTAGTTGCTCAACAAACTATATTTACTAAGTCTGTGGTTAAATTGACAGCTGCTACAATTACTTCATTTAAGATTGCACATAATTGCAATGCACAAAAAACCCATTGACCATGGCAACATAATTAAAGAAGCAATGCTCACTGTATGAGAAACATTGTTTCAAGAATTTAAAAATAAAAAGGAAATTATAGCAGCTATTGAATATGTTTAATTATCAAGAAATTCAGTCACACATAGAATAGAAGCAATATCTGCAAATATCAAATTACTACAAAAAGATTTAGAAAAATGTGTTTTTTTTTTTTTATTAAGTTTACAAGGCAATGAATCAACAGACATCTCTAATACTGCTCAAATAAATATTTTTGTAAGGATGGTCTTTAATGTCTGCTCGGTAAAAGAAGATATACTCTCAGTTTTGCAACTACAAGGAAAGGACATATACCAAGTTATTAAAATCTACATTAAAGAATTAATCTGACCTTCAAAAACTTGCATCCATAACAACCAATGGAGCACCTGCCCGGTTGGTGTTTACTTAAGCACATTATATAAGAATGTTGCTGAGTTTCTAAATTTTTTTCATTATAACTGCATCATTCATTCATCAACAGACACTATTATGTACAAAAGTTTGGCATTATGAACATGTCATAAAAGTTGTTCTAAAAATTGTAAATTCTATTTGAGATAGACAACTTCAGAGCAGATTATTCAAAACTAGTAGCCCGGGACACCCCCCTAATGGGTGTTCTTTACAAATTCCCATGAGACATGGTTCTGTCGGGTGTTCGCGACCGCAACAGTTCCTTTGACTTTTTTGTTCCTATCAATATGCTCTACAGCTCTGTTAAAGTCCCAATCGCATCATACAGATCTATATTTCTATCTATTAAACATTCTATAAAACTTTAAAATAGTTTAATTTGTTTATTTATCTTCAGTTGTAAACCTCGAT